GGCTATTTGGAGCCCCAGGGTATTGCCCAGGTGCTTGGCAAAGTTGTGGAAGCCCTTTCGGACGGCATCCTCAGAGGCTTCTTGCTGCTCGGCTTCCCGGCAGATTTATACTGTACGGTTTAGGGTTTAGAGTTTAGGGCTTGTGCATCAGAATGGAGCGCTGGGGTATCATGTAGTCTACTTCATCTACGGAACAACTAAGAAACATGTTGCGCCAAAGCTCATGATGGCAAAAATAATTAGCCGCAAGTCTTGGAGGTCTTCAGACACCAGGGGAATGTCACAAACACACAGAGGTAGCAAGTACCCACACGGAGCCTGCAACCCTATGACGCCCAGGTGCTGAAGCCTGTCAATTTCAGAAACTGTGGTCCTGATATCCTGTTTAGGGCGTTTAGGGCCCATGTTCCCCCTCCTAAATGAGAGTTGATGCCGTGATCCTTCGACCGCCGTCCCGAAATTAGAGCAGGTAGCCTTCCATATACGGCCTGCATTAGCTGCTTTGGCTCGCAGTGTATCATTGACTTCTTGCCCATCGAAAATTCAGGTCATCTCCCTGCCAGGCGGCGTAGAGATTGTCGATTCGCTCTTTCTCGCTTTCCTCTCCACCGTAGAAACAAATAGACTCCTCGGCAGAGTCGCACCCCAAGACCATGAACTGACAAAGCTGAAGCTGCTTGCTGGTTGTTCAGGACAGTCCACGTTCTGGGTGGATTTGGGGTCCCGATCCGTTTTTGAGCCCCGGCCCCTAGGCCTTGGAGGGTGTGAAACTCCCAAAGAGTCCCAGGGGGGCGCCGGCGAGATGACTTGATGGCACTGAGGAGGTCCCGATGTTGCTGGAGGTATTGATGATCACGGAGATGAAGATGGTCGCAATGATCTGATTGTTGATGGTGAACATGTGGGGATGATGCTCGTAGCAGTGACGGTGACTGGTGATTGGGATTGCAGCGACAGTGCTGCTATGGTGGCGGTAGTGATGCACGTGGTGTTGGTTGTGATGACGACGACAGTGACGAAATGCTGGTGACAGCCATGGCACGTAGTCGGTGCGGATATGAGGCAATGCAATTATATCGCCACTCGTGCTGCTTCAATTGGTTTCACGTGTTGCGGTTGTGTCGCAGCTCCCGCAGCAGAGCGCACCGGCTCCAAAGGCTACTTGGTCCCTAAGCCCGGTCGTACGCCAAGCGACTGCAAAAAGGCTGCATTTGGCATGGGCCGAGCGTAACGCCGCCTGAAGCTAAGCTTGGGGTCGTGAAGAGGAACCAGGGGTTTAATGTAGGGGCCTTAGT